CCCCCCCCCCCCCACCTTCCTTTAGTTTCCTTATAAATTATGGTTGGGTGAGTCACCACAGTGTCATCTCATTTTATTAGAAACTGGATCTATGATGTTGCAAAGGGAAGAATATGTTTCTAGTGCTTACCTACCCAGAATGGGCTGTACTGCCTTAAAGCCCCTTTCCAAGACACCTGAATATGCAGTTGACAGGGTCAGCTGCCCCAAAGGAGCATTTTTTCCCCATCTCAGGTAGAGGTGGGAACCTGAGGGACAGGCAGACAGCTGGGGACAAAAAAATCCCACAGCCACTGAAAGGTGAATTGTTCCCTCTCCTGAATTGCCCGTTTTAGGTTTTAATGCCACTTCTGAGACCTTCTCTTCTGAACTGAGCCTTCATTTATGTCCAGCATAAGCAAATCATTGTATATGTTCATCCTGATAGCAAGTGCAGTATGAATGCTGAGCTTTGTAGGAAAGTGCAGCGTGTTGTTGGGCACTTGGGAAAAGTATGAACTCATTACAGCTGAAGGGATCATGTGGAGGAAGAGGAGCCTAGGGTGGGAATTCAGCAAGCTGAACCAGCTTTTAGCATCGCAGAAAATCTCCAAGAGCTGTGTGTTCTTCTAACCATTTGGCATCACTGTTAACACTGGCACCAGTCTCCCATCCTTCCTTTTTTGCATCTTTTTTTGTCCCCCATTGAGTCCCTGGCACTTTTCTCCAGCCCCCCCCATGGTCCCAGGCACTCCTCCCTGCTGCGGTTCCAGAGGATGCTCCAGCTTCACCTTCCCAGAGGGATATCATCATTTCAGGAAGGAGGCTCTCACCACCCCCTAACATCAATAAAGCAGACACACCCCAAATACTGTCTGCCATGCATCCTCATCTTCGTCTTCTCGTCTTTTCCTTTGCGTCTGACCTTCCTGTATTTTTAGATTGCAGGTCTGAATAAGAGTACGAATAAGAGTATTTTCCAGCCCTCTTCACTAATGCAAAATCGTATCACTAACCCTGAGCCTCTTGGTGCTGCAGAATTAATTCAAGTGAATAATCTGCTGGGTCTGTTCAGGGAGCAGTAAGGACCACCTGTCTGAGAGGGGAAGGACCAGCCTGGGCTTGTAGACATTCCTGGGTCTTGGGCACAGAGCCCAGCAGTAGTAGGGCAGGCAGATCGTCCAATGTGAGGCTTTAACCTCACATTGTAGGCATCTCATTTTGTGGTGGTGAGGTTGGCAGTCTTGGAACACCTTCTGTCTCAACACAGAGGGGGCTCTCACTGGCCTAAGGAAAGACAGTGGGCTATTAAGTTTCTGCAACCTGCCTGGAAAAGGGAATAGTCTCCTCTGGATGCACACGGGTCCTAGTTACCATGCCAAGTGTAGCATGCATACACAGAATGAAATAATTTTTCTGTGAGCAAACCAAAAAAAGGAAAAAAAAAAAGATTAAAAAAATTGTCATTGTAGACCAAAGTGTAAAGTGATTTATTTTTCACAGTGCTGAAAGCTTACAGCTGAGTCCCTCAACAACCCTGGACTACAGCGTCAGTATTTTGAAATGGAAGAAATCCTCTTGGTACTGATGCTCTTTCTTTGCCTTTCAGCATGCACATCTCTGAAAGCCAACAAGAATTCTTCAGAATGCTTGATGAAAAAATTGAAAAGGTAAGACAATAAAGTAAATGTACATTTTCACTCAGGGTGGACACGCAGGTTTCCCACCTCCATGGGGAGGACAACCAGACACTGTCTGTTGCAGTGCTCCACGTTCTCCGGTACTTGGAGGGACTCTGGTCCGAGATCCCCCTTGTGGCTCACTGGTTAGATAGTTCAAGTGCAAAGAAGACCGAAAAGGTAAAAAGGTTACAGGAGGTACTGGAAAGAAAACTTTGTTTTGTGGAAACATCACCAGGCTAGGATGAATGGCAAATTAACTTAACGCAAACATTCAGGATATACATGGACCACTGGATAAAGGAGAAGAGCAAAGTGACGTTTTATGCCCTTAGTGACCTGATTTTTCATTTAATCTCTGCGGGAGACAACTGGAATCTCAATGCCAGTAGTATCTGGGATACCCTTCTTATTTCTTGCTGAATCTCTTCAAAATAGCTCCTGGCTCCAAAGGTTATGAGTAGTGTGGCTGTATGTATGGATAACCCTGCCTCAAGACCTAAGTAAAATACTGATGCTGGAGGTGTTTTGAAGAAGAGGGTGAATAGTTCTTTACACATCTCATTGTCTTGATAGCAGCTTTCATGTGTTTCACAGGTCTTCTAAATGAGAATCCCAGCTTCTTTGTGAGATAGTAGTGAATAATTGTACCACAACATAGATGGGAAACTGAGACTTGAGGAATTAAATGGGCTATTTGGATCAAGTCTAGATCTCAGCCTTTGCTGATACCTTGAGCCAATGTCCGCTCACCAATATACTCTTTACACTTCATATTTTGGAGCGGTGTATCTTATTTAATACTTGATATTAAATATTTGCTTCCCCAATTGGAATAAAGTAATTTGTCCTCCCAAATTGTAGTGTTGGGTTGCAGAGTAGGAGGGAAAGTTTTACTTGGATGACTCTGAATTTCCGCCATTTTTGCCAACACTCCTGGTCTTGGGAGCTGGAGTGCTACAGCAGGTGAAACTCTTATTTGTCCCAAGCAACAAACTTGTTACACTACTCTAAAAAAAAAATATTTCATGAAAGCAGAAAGTTAGATAAAGGAGAAGAGTGGAAGTGAGGAGGAGTTTATAGATTCCTGAGAAGAGTATTTCTATATCAGTATTTCACAGGAGTAAGATTTTACTTAACCTGTATGCATTTAAAAGTAGAATTTCTACATATCCGTAATATAGCTACGTCTCTTTTGAATGAATACATTCACCCTATAAATATTTAGATACTTTTCCTGGACATCATCACCTTCCATGATGTCAAGCACAGAATCTCCAGTGAAATGGATTTTCCAAAGATCTACCTTATCTACATACCAGACCATCTGATGGTTGTATCTAATTATGAATTGAGGTTAGTTTTTGTTTTCGAGATTTGTTTCAGGACACGAAAACCATTTGTTCACCAGCTGCTACATTGAGATGCAGTTGACCATGCTCTCAGATGTTTGCAGGTGTTCTCCAGGGCTCTTGTACTAATTTATCTTCTAGATCAGGAGATTGCCTATTTAGAGGAAATACACAGTTTTGTCTGTCGAAGAGAGAGAGATGGCTCCCATGCATTTCAAGCTGCTGACAGTTGATGGGATTGGCAGGAGTTAATGCACAGCTGAACATGGGATTTGCTTTCTCTGGGGACCTGTGCCTAAGGAAATAGTCTTCCTAAGAGAACTTTTGGGTTTTTTTAATTAATCTTTGCCCGCGATACATTGTTTTTCTATGTATGTGCCAGAAGTGCCAAAAAGATTGGAAAATATGAGGGGTTTTGTTTGATCCCTAAATAGCGTTTTGAGTCCCTTCTCCAGGGAAATGGAGGACAGCAGTCAAACAACTCAAAGAATTATATCACTGAGCAGGTCACTGGTTATGGCTGAAATCGTCTGCAGAAGTGGGCAGGCGTTGCCTATGGTTGATAAGGTCCCAAAACATGTTGTAATGTTCACATGGTAACTGTGGACATGAGTAGCGTTGTATTTGTAATGAAAACACTCTGTCCGTCACTGACTCCACAGGCTATGTCTACAGAAACTCTACAGTTAGAAGCAAACCATCCCTCAACCTGCGTTGAAATCCCAAGGGGTGCTAGGTCACCTAATACAAATGAGTAACAACAGCTCTAACGTGTGTGCGATGAATTAGAGAGGAAAATTAAATGGGCGTTTTGGACTCAGCAAAACAATTAAATGGACAGGAAGGTCAGCTAAAATAAAATTTCTGCGTCAAAGTGTGAAGTGGAAAAACACAGGCGGATGTTTTAGCAACTGAAAATATGAAGTATTCATGAATCCCGGAGATCAAAAAAAGCCTTAATGAAATGGTCTGGAGAATTTCTCTGAAAGGCTAGCCCCCATCAGTATCCAGCACATACCCGCATTCCTGGCTGCCTGTATGAAGCTGAACTGCATTCTGCAAATGCCACCCAAAGGTAAAAACCAGAATGCCAACCCCAACGCATGAAGCTTCTGTCTACCAAAATTCAGTGTCAAAACGCTGCAAGGCATTGAGAGGGAGACATCTGTTCCTGTGAGTGTCTGTCCCTGCTCTGAGAGCTAGAGCTGAACTTGCATGTATGGAACTGCGTGTGATTATGGTAATTCAATTCATAGGGTTTGTTGGAGGGAAGAAACACTGAAATGAAGGCTCGGCACTGAATGCTGAGGTAGGATTGAGAATGTAAAAGTCAGCCTTGCACGCAGGGTTAGATGTTGGTTCTGCTAGAGTTAACCCAGTCATTTCAGAGGCACCAGAATTTGAGCTAAAAAAAAAAAAGCTGATGAGAAACCAGAGATAAAAAGTTATGTGGGAGGTTGGGAGTAGCTGGGTAGAGTTAAGCAGTCGACAGCACAGTAAGCAGTAGTTATACGTCATATGTATATGTAAGACCATGGAGCGCTTCTTGTGACGGTGTTTCTGTGGAGTAGCAACATGCATTCAGACAGATAGTAACCAGGTGATTAAAAGGTTGAACAAATCTCAGCACAGCTGTGGGATGGTTTTCAGATGATGGGATGCTGGTGTAGTGGCAGAGGGTGGACACAGCTTCGGCGCAGCACCAAGGCTGGATGTGCACTGCACCAGGAGAGAAGAGGAAAAGGAAAGACCAAGTCACCTGTGAGCAGCACAAGGTCCAAGAGTTGTGGCAAAAGCTGGCTCAGAAATGTTCCTGACATCTGCCAGCAGCTGCAGCAAGTCCTCTTGGGGTTTCACAGTCGCTGAAGTTACTGTGAGTAGAGTCATGGACTTTGCTTTTGGAGACAAAAAGGCACACACTTACAAAGAGTTTGGGAAGAAAGTGGAGCAGAGACAGGCAGCTCACCTGGTGACACCGTTGTCGTCATTTTTTGAAAATTGGGCTTGCCTAAAGTTGTGTATATATTCCAGCAGAGGATGAGCAACAGGTAATAGCAGCAATTAAGCTTGAGGAGAGAGCCCCCCCAGAGTAAATTAGAAAGACGTGCGTCAGAGCTGCAAGTGATTTGCTTGAGCTGAGAAATTAAGGCAGAAATATGACTTCGGAAAGCTGAAAAGGAAGCGGAGAGCGACTGACACATCCCTTCTAAAGCAAATGCAGCAGCTGCTGGATAAATCCGAGATCTGGTTTTGTTGGTTGACAGCTGCCTGAACATGAGCCAGCAGTGTGCTCAGGTGGCCAAGAGGGCCAATGGCATCCTGGCCTCTATCAGGAATAGTGTGGCCAGCAGGACCAGGGAGGTGATAGTGCCCCTGTACTCGGCATTGGTGAGGCCGCACCTCGAGTACTGTGTTCAGTTTTGGGCCCCTCACT